TACCACCCAGCATTGGCGATCCCGACCTTGCTGGTTTTGGCAGTACACTGCTTGATGACCTTGCGCCGGAGATGTCAAAGATCACCTACGGAATCCAAGTCAAAATCGCGCACACTCGCGGATCAGAAGGCATCTCGGTGCTTGCTGAGAAGCTGAAGAAAGTGCGCGTGAAGCCAGCCTTTGCAGAGCAGCCCCCGCTGAACATTGATCACAACGACGAATACCGATCGCGACAGGAAAAGACAGTCAAGAAGGGTTTGTTCAAAGGAAAGCTCGGGACGTTGTCTGCGAAGACTATCCAGCCACCACCTCTTGTCATTCCGGGCGCAAGATCAACCGAGGGCAGAACGATCACGACTATGGCCAAGTTAGTTCTCCGTTTTGATCCCACAGAGGAGGCCAGCGCACCACCGAAACTCGGTTCATTAGGAACAAAGATGAAGGTCGTGACCTACTACGCCTCGGCTCCTAGGCAGAATCTACCAACGCGGTCTACGCTCGGGTTCGATCTGTCGCAAGGCCTGTACTCCGAGTACGTGCCGCTGTCCAATCTTTGCATCGCCTCCGCCCAGTGGGAAAAGCACGATGCGGCACAAAATCCTAGTCCAGAAAGCCTGGTTCGACGCGACTCTGGTATTAGCGATTGCTCAACTCTGAGCGAAGCGGAGAAGGCTTTCGCGATGGGCATCCTACCTGCATCCAAGGATTACAAGCAAGGTGCCTTCTACACAGCGCAGATCTTGGTGCCAATCACCCTTCCCATGACACAAAACTTTATACCGACATTCCATTCCTGCCTCATCTCACGAACATACACCCTCGCGCTGCAGTTCTCCGCCCACGGAAGCTCCAGTATACATCTCAAGGTACCGATCCAGATCTGCGCCGAAGGCAGTGATACTGGCATTGAGAATGCTAGGGCGAGGAGCGTCGAGGAGACGGCATTCAGAGCTGCCTCTGATGTCTTTGCTCCACGCAGTGTTGCGCCTCCAAGTCCTGAGACGGCTCGCAGCGCGAGTGTTGGCACGCGAGAAGAGATGCCGCCCGGCTATTCCGCTTTTGCGCCACCCAGCACGAGGTACAGCGTGAGCCATTCTATCGTGACCTGAAGGTGTTCCAAGTTGTCACGGAAGCATCAGTGATGGGATGACTTTGTTGCGCAACAAATTTACAATTATCGAGCGATGTTTTTCTTGGAGAAGGATCTTGCTTTTAGGCGTTTTGGTATGGAAGGGAAGAGTGGCAGGGTTTTCTTTCATCGCACCGCAGCTCATGCTCTCTTCGAGTCGCCTTTTTCTATCGTTAGATCGCTCACCAGATACCCATACATATAGTAATGAACTTAATACGTTGTCATTTTCATGCTAGTTGCATGCTCTGCTCTTGCCCGTTTCTTAAGGTGGTGTCATCGTGTCTTGGCACGTCCGTGCTGACCCTGGGCAGCTTCCCAGTCATCTCATCCTGTGGCACCATATCAGCACACCATCACTCACAGGCATCGCTCCTCATCAAACCAACGTGAAGAAACAATGGCCGAGCATCCGTCTTTTACATTGGCAGGCTTGTGTAAGTGCCACGACGCCATCTGCGTGTCTAGTCGTATGAGAGCTGACTGAGAAATGATGTGCAGTGGCGGTCGGAGGAACCGCTGGCTATCTCCGAACACGCTCAACACCAAGCCTTGTCGCTGGAATCGGACTGGGTGCTTCGTACGCTCTTGCTGGTAAGCTGCTTAGCTCATAGATCGTGTTTCTGGCTGCATTGAACGTATACAGCTGCTTGTGGGCGCTTCAGCTAACCTGCGATCCAAGGCTACCGTATCAAGCAGAACCAGAATTACGGCACTGAACTTGCGCTTGGCAACAGTATCATGTTGATGGGCTCTGCGATACCGCGCATCATGAAGACCGGCGGACGCGCGCCTGTGCCGATCGCTCTGGGTGCGACTGGTGCGCTGGCGACTTACTACTACCAAAAGAAGGTGCGCGAGTTCAGGTATGGTGTCTGAGAAGCATTCGGTCTCTTTGGAAAAAGGACTATCGTTGAACGGCGATGGCGCCTTGTACAACTACTCAGGGTGGCTATATACTACCCTGCTCTACTCTTGAGTATCAATACCCCACTCCCATTTTCCTCTACTGAGTATATCCTTTTCCGCGCCGTATCTTCATTTCCGATGCCGTCAAGCTTCGGGCTGCGCTGCGCGATCATCATCATACCATCGAGCTGTACCCATGGACCCGGTGCCATCCAGTACCGCAGTGTTTGATATATGCCAAAGCAAGACGACAACAGCACAATCGCGAGGACGGCAACGGCTACCCACTCCCAGCCTAGACGCGGACTGGACCCGTACAGTTGCCATTGAATGGGATAGGTTACAATCTTGTCTTCCCGTTGGGAAGGCAGAGACGACGGAAGAGGAGACCAGTACTTATTGCTTAGGCTGAGGATGTTCTGGAATAGGATCCCCATGACGATCGACAGGCCCATGGCGTCGGAATTCACAAGTGGATCGATTGCCTGTAGGTTGCGACTCATCAATAGGAATTGTGGCAGTAATCTTGTCGATGGGACCAATAGCTCAAGCCTCGGCATGACGTCTCGTGCCTGCATACCTACTCCATTGGCAACATCAAAGTCGCTTGCAGTTACGCCCTCGTAAACGATCTTCTGGTTCAATTCAGCGCCGTAATGGTTGAAGCTAAGGTCGGGACTTTCCCTATCCACGATCCACACATTGACTGCGTATAATCCATGTCGGAATAAGCTGGAACAAGTGGCACCGGCAAAGCCTAGGGATGGGACTGGTCCAAAATCGGTCATGATCACGGCTTCCGACGATTCGTTTCTAGCTGGCGGCCGCACAACGATTGACGCCTCCGGGTTCAATGACTCCATTGGCGTGCAGACAGTGTTCAGTACTGGCAGTACGAGCGTCAGGTTACCGGTCCAACCGATCGATGAAGATGTTGGCTGATGGTCCGTTTTCTTGAGCCAGTCGTAGATACTGGTTACTTACCCATCGTCTGCGGAGGCCGTCTCGACTGACCCATTTGATAGGCCGAAGTCGGTATTGAGTGCAGTCCAGCGCTTCCATGAATCTCCGTCCAGCCGGTAATTATACACATGCCTCCAGCCTTTCTGCGTTTCTTTTACCGTGGACACAACATGCGTTAAGCCGGTGAACGCGAGAGAAGCGGACATGCCGAGCGCCCAGTCCCATGGTGGGTAGCCTTCCCCTCCAATATTGGATTGGCCGACACCGAGGATGTTTAGCCAGTCCACGCCGAGGAGTGATACTTTAGGATACTCGATCCTCATTATCTTTCGGTCATGTGCTGTCGTTTTCCATCTTTTCTGGTAAACAGGGAACCAACGCTTCTTCGATATAGCCACAGTGTTCACGGCCAGGCCTTGCAACATAACCGACACAGATACGCAGAGACAAAGCAAACAGCGGGCAACGCTCTTCCAACTCAAGCTAGACCTTCGCCACCGTGTGGCAAAGCTGCTAACAGTCATCCACGGCTTCGTCAACTCCTCTCTCAAACCAAAGTCGCTGTACTTCACACCACGTCTATCACCCACTGCTGTAGTCTGTGCCATCCAGACTGTGATGAAGGATGAAGCCATATATTCCAAGGAGCTCACCAAGAGGACATCGAGGCTCTTGTTAAAGAAACCAAGAAAGGCTAGCTTGAGATCCGCATCTACGTCTTCCCCCAAGACGCGGCTCAGGCCTATGGAGATGTATGTGCGCATCGCTCCGAGCGAGATTCCTGTGATCACGAGTCCGATAGCAGACATGCGAATGGCTAGCATCCAGTAGTCGGCGAACTTCAAGCCCGGCCGGGTTGCCACAGCTGGACGGTGTCTGATCTTGGTGCCTGTGTTCTTAGCGACTACCACGACTCTTTCTCTGATGATACTGTCAGTTCGAACGAGATGCAGCTGCGGGGCTATTACTTCAAGACTACCAGTATCGCTTTGTATCCGTGCATCCTACTCGACAAAATCTTCGCCGGGGCCTTCGGGGTCATATTCTTGATCTGTAGACAAACGGCGTTTCGTCGCTACGCGTCAGTTGCGAGGCTGTTGGTTTTCGCAGGCAATTCTAAAAAAGACCAGAGGCTCAAAGGCGGCTACATCCTTCATGGTAAGCATGCAAGGCTGAGAGTGTGGCGAGGCTGAGAGTGTGGCAAGGCTGAGAGATATGCATATGGCGTGGTGGCTGCATGCATGACAGCCACAGGCTGCACGAATGTCCTTATCTGTGCGACAAGACATGCGCAACTTCCACGAATCACGCCTTAGATAGAGGTAAAAGCCTGTTTCCTCCACCTGTGACAAGATTCGAGTTGAAGAATACTAATCACATACAGATACAGAAGCAACGCGTCATCCAAGTCAGCGGCTACTACGACAAGCGACTACAACTCATCTACAAGCTGCTGGGCGCTTCGCCAGCTTCAAGTGGGCTATGAATCCCAGAAGCGACCCTCATAATAGTGACATGTGTTTCTATACAGGAAACGTTTTGTTGCTGCGATCTTATCCCATCACCAACCACAACAACGATTTTTGCAGTCGCGGAGATGCCTTTCAGTGATCAATCTCGCGGGCCAAATTACGCACGAGGCGGACGAGGACTGCTTGCTGGAGTAGACGGTAGATGGGACAAGGCGGTATGGCCAGAGCTGAGATGGGACGCGGTAAGCGTATAAATATGGAAGTTGTGCTCCTGCGCAACCTCCCAATGTGGCGAACGCACCCACGCGGCCAGCCAGCATGCGCCACCAATGGCCCAGCCTTGCGCCATTCCCAATCTTTCTCCTAATTTCTCTGGTGTATCGGGATCGCATGCAGGCAGAAGCTTGGCGGCTGAGAGCAGCCTTCTTACCTGTCCGCCGCTATTCAAAGGCTACTTATCCCGCTTCTTGCTAAGATTGCTACCTTAGCCCCAGCCTAGCACATTACCACCACGCGAGCAACCGACCATGGGCAGCTGTGGAAGTTCCCTCAACTGCAACAAGTGTTACGCCAGTGAACCGATCGATGGTTGCATTACCGAAATCGACATAGACCCTGACATCGCGGGCATTGGAGTAAGTGAATCCTAGATGGCCTCTGGAGCTGCACGCTGATATCATTCGAAGGTATTGATATCTTTTCTCTTCTGCGCTTATATGCTCTCTGCCGTCATTATCTGGGGCTACTACAATGAGTGTTTACCCCTCGACATACTCTCCCGCACCGATCACTACGCACTGCGAGCACTCAAGAAGCTGCGTCGTCCTTTCGTAGAAGCCGATCTTCATTTCGAGCCTACGCCAAAGCAGGAAGAAAGAACTCAGATTATCGTTGGTTTCGCCACAGTCTTAAGCGACCAACAACTTATCACCGGTGTTGCGATCCTAATCGCGGGACTCGCTAGTCGGTGCCGCATCACCTTCTACGAGTTCAATATCGTCACGTATCTAGCGTATTTCGCGACCGTCACACATGCGCTCTCTCTGGGGGTGCTTCAAAGTCATCTCTTCAAGCGTAAGCTCGTTCGAGACTGCCGAGTTGTGTTTACCGTTGGGTTTCTAGCAATCTTCGCCTTCTCCTTCGTCATCAATACTGTTTCAACTAATTTTGACGAAGTCATATTGAAGACCACCCTAAATGTAGGCAATGTGCTCCAGTGTCTCTTCGAAGCGTCGCGTTTTGGCAAGTCAATCCAATTCGATTTGGTCGATTCGATTCTCATCCTGGGACTTATACTTGCCAACCACACCTTGGCTATCGCAAATCTATTCTTCGAACCCGGAACAAGTGCGCTGGGCGTGTTGATATTATCATGTTACGCAGGCTGTCTTCGTCTGAAGGGTTTCTCGCAGGTAGACGCTAGTGCGATGGTCATCACGGCCGATGCCAAATATTACGCCTGGCTACGTCCACCTGTTGCAACTACAGCAAGAACAAGAATATCGATATGGTGCTTCTTCGACAGATACTATGACTCGTACATATCGATGCTTCCGGAGATTCTAGTGGGCATGACCTACGGCACCGGCAGTGTTGTGCTCGCTGTATGGTATGGAGGATTGAAGCCGGCGAATAGCCTTCATATCTTGGGGTTTGGGCAGGTCGTAGCCATAGTGCTGCTGGCGCTAACGCTTCTAGCCGCAATTGAAGTCATTAATGGTAAGCACATTAGGTCTGTTCGTCGCAGGGTATACGCTGATATGAATCCGCGCCTCCAGAGCAGAAGCTTCCGAAAAACAAGGTTACTAGTTGCGAAGCCTGTTCATCTTCCGAGGCGAGTTCGACGGTGGAGAGTCCGGCGAAGAGAATCAACCCGGCGGAAGGTAGTCAACAAGACAAGAACGCCCCAGGTCCATCTCACACCTCCGTACCTGAGTCCAAAGGTCTCATCAACCGGCCTTGGACAGCACTAGTGCGTCTTGGATCATGGAAGTCCCATGAAGACTTGTTAGCCATACGTTCCGGCAAATTCTATACCCAAGACAATGGCGATGTCTACACGGCCAGGAAGATGGGCCGCCTTGCCTTATTTTATTGCTTCTGCGAAAGCTGCCTGTCCGCATCAATGGGAGTTATGTGGAACCTCGGCGATACTACTGATTTGGCTTCGTCCCTACTCTACATTTATATCACTTATCGGTTCTTGCTGGTAGTTAAGAGAATGGTGGACCAGATCTACTTCATCCGCGATGAAGTGAAGATAAGCCGTAATCGAGCTCGGCCAGAATCCCAGCTCAGCATGCTGACTCAAGCGCGACCCGAGTCATATCGAAGTGACCAGAGCGTGGTTACCTCAGCACCATCGGACAACATCAGTATACAGACCACCTCACCATCGCCGTCGCGACCACTGAGTGTTATCGAGCAATGGTCTACTGGCAGAGAACACCAGACGGATTTTGGACCGCCAGGCAGAGTAGATACTGAAGCAGATATCGGGCTTGTTCCGTTGGCAAGACGCAAAACATTTCCGCCCCAACAGAACGGCGAAGATGCATGATATGGCGCTTGGTCGGCCGATCTTATTTGCGCCAGAACACGCAGGACAGCACATGAATGGCATAGCTCCCAGCATTGAATGAAGTTATTCATATTTCTTCTTGAACCTGAACCAAACATGTCCGCCATCCTTTCATCATCCATCAAACTGCAAGACCACCATTCCATGTCCAAGCCCCCACCGTCCAGCAGCCGACCTCATTACAAAGCCAGCCGCGACAAATGAAAAAGAGATACCAGTAGACCCCATAATGACCAATCCCCCAGTTGTCGATCCGAATCCACATGCACCATGCCCGGGTATTCGCCCATCGCCAATCATGCATCCCAGATAAAGAACCTCGTCCCACGTGTGAGAAGCCGAAGAGCCAAATGGCTGTCTTCAAAGTTGAATAACTCCCAGATCATGCAAAAGCAACGCCAAAGAAACGCAAGATAGTACAGGACAAAGGAAAAAAACTCACACTCAGAAGAGAATGGACGCCGCAATCAAGACGTTGCTGGCCAATGTGTTCTTTGGAACTTGCGATGAAGATCGCTCGCAAACTTTTCGTATGTCGTACCGCGTCGCAAGGTTTGCGGTTCGAGATATCGTTGATAGCACTTTTGAGTATGTTCGAGACTGCCAGAACTGCTGTTCATCAAGGTCAGTTCACATAAGATCATCACAACAGCACTGCGTACCTGTTTTTCTTCAACCCCACCTAGAACGCCCATCAAGCAGCCTTCAGAGCCTGCGCGACCAACACCGGAACCAAGATTGCAGTGACAAGGCCAACATTAACGACGATACCAGCAATGAGCGCCGTTCGCTTAGACTGTGGCGTGACGTGGCCCAGATGGCCTTTGGTAAGCTCGGCGATGACTTTGTCTCCTATAAAACGGAAGAGGATGATGCAGGGCGGCAGGAGGCAGAAGGCCATGAGGATGCACCATGATAGCTTGCGGCGGCGTGCCTCATCTTCTGGGTTGGGCTCCCGCTCCACGCAGAGAAGGTGAGGCGAGTGCTGGTGGGCAATGTTGGCCCTGACCGGCGGAGGGTAGATGTCTAGGCTAGGGTGCGTGGGACGGAGAGGCGTGGTAGTGTCGCTGGTAGATGGACGATTACTGTGGGCCACGAAGCGCGTGATGTGCGTGTCTTGAGTCGAGGTGGTCGATCGAGCAGCTTCAGGCGCAAGAAACATCTGCCGCAGTTTCGTCTGACCAGGTACGGCAGAGCGGCTCGTGCGGCGTTGTTGACGCAGGAACGTGGTAGAGTTACGGAGGTGCTTGCGAGCACCAGGGTTTGGAGAGGTCTCTTGAACAGTTTCCAGTTCTGGCGTCTGTGAGAATAGACTAGCTTCTGATGGTGTTCGATGCTCGGGACTCGGCTTGTAGACTGGTCGGGACTGGCTGATGCGAGTTACGCTGCCTGTAGCTGGGAAGGGCGAAGCGTAGAACCCGGTGTAGTCTGAACGAACGCTCTGGCGACCAACGCTCGAGCTGAGCTTCACACCAGGACTGCTAGTATCTGCGACACTGCTACCTGTCTCATGCATGCCAGTACCGCGAGGAGTACCAGTGAGATTGCCCTTAGGCCCAACATAGGACAGCTTCTCAAAGGTGTTCTGGCGCTCGAGACCAATAGGACTGTTGTCGAAAACGCTCTCATCAGCGGTACTTGAAGTCGGTAGAGTACTATCATTGCTTCTATACCGGTAATGTCCTTGTGACTGACCCACAGACGAAGCTCGCTGCTCATCGATAATGATGTTATCATTAGGGCCAGAAGCTAGCAGTTCTTGCGTCTCTTTGTCACTGAAGGCGTATGGGTCCGCCCAGGGAGCGTAAGCATATGGCTGGTCCACTGCGCCGCGTCCTCGAACTTCTTCAGCATTGGTAGCAAACTGGAACAATGGTGCTGTTCTTGATGCTGGAGGGCTGGAAGCCAACGGGGGAGATGAAGTATCGGGTGCGGTACGAACACTTGCTTGAGCTCTCAACGGCGGTGGCGATGAACCAAACAGGTGAGGGTGTTGAGTACGTGAAGGACTAGGGTGGTTGTAGTATGTCGAACGAGCCGGCGATTGAGCTAGCTTCGCCCAGGAAGGAAGGGAGCCATCTGAGTTTAGGCCAAGACTGTTCCGGGTGCCCTCACTGCTGCTATAGTCTGCAATGCTGCTAAGAAGAGACTCGTGGCCTTTCGAATCGCGACTGTTACCGCCGACCGTCTCCCAATCCGCTTTATCTCCGGTAATAGCTGCGTCACCGCCACCAAGAGGTGTGTCGAACTCCTCGGGAACACCAGATGACCTGTTTGTGGCTGATTTACTTAGCATTAGGCTGGCCGAGTTGCGTCTAGCCCACATCGCGGGGATCTTACTGTCATCCTGATGCTTGTTGGCCGTGTCTTGGAAGATTTGTTCGGCCTGTTCGAGAGCCTCTCTAGGCGTATGCGGGCTCTGTGGGTTGTCCGCTTGAGAGTAGGAAGACGAAGGCTCGAGGGTCCTGACTTCTGGTTGAGAGTACGATGAAGATGGCTCCAGAGTGCCTTTCATAGCAGGCTGGATCGAGACATCTGACTCCGAGATGCGGAGCAGATTTCGAGTATCTCCGTATGAGTAGCGTGATTCATCAGAGAACATGCCAGACGTTGGTAGACGTGGAGGAAGGAAAGGTGCTTCGTCGTACTCAAAGGCCGGTGCAAGAGGAGCCGCTTCACGAGGGGGTGAACCTGGGTGCTGGGTAATCGGAGGCCGCCTTGAACCTACACCAGTTTGTTGAACCCCCTTTCCTTTGCCTTCATAGTGAGTGGCTACGGGCGCATTTGCTGCATCATGCGGGCTATATTCATCGATGAGTTTGCTGATGGTGTCTGTCTTGGGATCACGTTCTTCGACCGAAGGGTGGTACATGTCCTGCGCGAATGGACGTGACAATTGCCGACTCATCCGATTAGAGTCGCCATAATCGTACGAGCTGTTAGGATTGTACTCGTTGGCAAAGTCGCTTGCGTTTATCCCACTAAGCCGAGCGAACGGGTTGCCACTGCTGTTCCGCTCGCTCTGAAGTCCCTGCTGATACATGGACTTCCGATGACCATCTGCGGTGTAGATGGACGAACTGGGGTAGATCGAATCAAGATCGTCGTAGTAGGGCTTCGAAAACCCGCCTTCAGTAGAGTAAGGCAGATGAGACTCATCTAATCGTCCGATCTCCGTCGAGTGCTCATCCGGCAGCATGGATGCTAATGACTCCGACTGGTAGTGTCCTGTACGATGACCTCGCGATATCTCTGCTTCATCTTGTCCAGGCGAAAACGCTTGTGGGAAGGCCGGCGTGAAGGCATGGAAGCCTTCAGGTGACAGGGGGCTGCTGGGCGTAGCTGGCGACATTGGTCCGACCGGGAAGTATGTTGTTTCCGGGGTCGTAACATAGGTCTGGTGCAACGGACGTGGGAATTCTCCTTCCATGCTGATTGATGCCTTGCTCACGTTTTCGTTACGCATCTCCTGCAACTCCTCGCCCTGTAACGCCGACGGTGTTTTGGTGAGCTTCTTCGTCAAAGTACGAGTCAATCCTTTGAGAGAGAAACGCGACTCGCGAGCAGGCGGCTTGATGGTCAGCGGGGAGGGCGCATTGACTGATTCGGGGCTGTAAGGAGGCGATGTGTAAGAGGAGGAGTTGGGACTGAGGGCAGCAGGTGACGGCTCAAGCGGAAGCTCCATGTGCGACTGCTCTGGCGAGTCTTCAGGACGTCTCAGGATACCTGCATGCGCTGCGCGAAAGTCGCCGTAAACGGCTCGTTTGGGCGCCATCTGTTGCGATCAGCTGTGCTGAGAACGGAGTTGGGTTGTAATACATACCTCTGAAAATGCGTCGTCAGATGAACGTAGAAGAAGATATTCACTGGAATCGAAGTCGCGCGAGGGCGTAACAATGTCGTGAAGCAGTAGCGAATCGTGCGGGTTAACCAAGTCAAAGGAAGCACCGCGATAATGGATAATTGCGGGCGTCGCGGGCGGCGTCGCAGGCGCAGTTGTCGCGAAGCTGGGTGCGTCTATTCGCGTCGGCTCTCTTTCATCGTGGGATGGTGAGAGCGACGGGTCGATCCGGTGGGGCGGCTGCGGGAAGCGGGATAGCGAGAAGGTCGAAAGTGTGGGCGTGGTCTGCGCGCCACTGGAGTGTGAAAGGTCGGTGGAGAAGCTCAACACAGCAGGACGCGGTGATTGGCGTTTTTGCGTAGATTTCACGTTTGCAAGCGGAAGATCAAATACAGGACCTGTAGTGGCAGGCGGTTTCGGCAACCTTTTTCTTGACTTGAACTGACGTACCTTGCTAGACGAGTT